CACACGGGCGATTTTTGCGGCGATTTGAGGTGCGATTTTTTCGGCGATTTTCACGGCGACGCAAAATCGCGCGTGTGAACACCCGGCGATTTTACTGCGATTCTAGAAATTCACGTCGCCGTGAAATCGCAGCGGTTTCGAACATGTTCAAATTTCACTGCGATTTGGCTGCGATTTTYATGAAAAAAGGGCCAAAACAAGCATTAGGGGTCCCCCCAAAGCAGATTTGTATATGATGTTACGTCACAAAAAACATGGCGACCAAAAAGATACAAGCAGAAAAAAGAGCAAAAAGGCAATGGAAAAGTGAAGAAGAAGAAATTCTGATCAGCCAGTGGTCCAAGTACGACTGTCTTTTCAATACAAGTTCGGAAGAATTCAAGAGGACGGACAAAAAACAAGCTGCACGAGAWGCAATAAGAAAGATGTTGGAGGAGGAGACGGGTAGCTGTTTTACGGGTAAGGATACACTTATTCAATGATATTTATTTGGAATTAGTTATGGCAATTATATAAACCTAAGTCTTTATGTCTTYGTGATATTATTAAATGAATTTTTCACGTTGGTATCCCTTTATAATGAGTAAGCCTGGGCAGACGAATGTACGCATGATTGTAAACTTTTACAAAATGGCGGATGTCCACAACATTAAAACTGGTTTCTTCACAATGCGTTTCAACGTCTCCCGTAGCGTCAACGTCAAAAATATTATTCATAGTAGGATGGTTATTGCCTACACTTTCCAGGAATATTTAGTATTCACAGACTATATATTGTGAACTTATATTATGTTGAATTTTTGGCTGTAACTTCTTCGTCTTCACATCGTGACTATATACCGGTAATTACCCCTTTCGTATTCCAAACCACGTRTTCATTTTTATCCATAAGCTTTTATCTGTCGTTTTATTTTTCTGAATACATTTGTATTGTTATTATTCTGCACAATTTGTAAGCTTAGTTGTTTAAACAGTATAACCATGGAACATTAGTTTTACWAAATAGTACAATTTTATGCAAATTCTATTGTTTTCTATTGTTTAAATTAGCACTATATTTTGTACTATTTAGTAAATTGTAATTCACGGTTATATTGTTTGCACTCTACATGTTTGGTGTTCATTACTTTTAWATAATTTACCTTTGCTTGTGACTTAGATGAAGATATAAAATCCAAAATGCGAAACCTAAGGACCCATTATGGAAAAGAATTGGGGAAGACAAGAGCTTCCAAGGTCACTGGAACTGGGACTAAAGATGTCTACGTACCAACTTGGAAATGGTTTAAAATGCTGGGATTCCTCTCTGACAGTATTACCCCAATAAAGACAAGACCAACCCCAGGTGTGCAAATCCCCATTGATGACGAAAATGAGGAAAATATTAATGAACACCTGCAGGAGTTTTCAGAGAAAGAAGACTATGCAGACACCCCATTGGATGCCTCTAGTGATGCAGGTGATATGTTGGCTTCTAKGAAATCAGTGAATCGTAGTAGTAAGTCATCTGTGAAAACTGACCTCGAAAGCAAATTACTGGAAAGATCCATGTCAGTGCTTGAGGATATTGGTAAAAAGCRGGTTTCTAGCACAGAGGAAGATGGCGATTCTCTATTTGCCAAACACGTATGTCACACTTTAAAAGAAATAAAAACCAAACAGGCCAAGGAGATGGTGAAACTTAAGATCCAACAATTGCTTTTTGAGGCACAGTTTTGTAATAATTCCCAAGCAACACAACCAAATGTTTGGGAATTACCATTTCCTAGTAGTTTTGCTCAATTATAGTGAGCATAAATTTCTATTCATGGAGAGTTGTAACACATGTATGAAAGGTTGTTACTAAGAAATATTTTTGCCTTTTCTGCCAAATTT